TATAAAAGCTATAGAAGAGTTTTTCAGGTTTGCAGTCCGAAATCACACACAGGGAAATTGACGATTTTGTTTTCGGGGAAATGACGCCGAATACATTCAAAATAATCATTCATAGCATTCTTATACTTGATGATGATTCAAATATGTTAGTAAGATTAGTTTTCAAGTTCGCGATTAGGCTTCACAACATTTATTCTGTAACTTACACACTGTATGGAAATCCCACGCAGGGGAATCCATGCTTTTTTATGAATAACACGCATAATCCAATTCTAATATACAATAGCATGCCCAATCATTTCTGATTATCATCAGTTTCGATTCGTTTTTGAGACATAAATCACAGTTAAACGGATTCACGTCTCAAGTTTGTCGCAATTTTATGAAATTTATGGGATATGATTATACACAGTCTTCCGGTCTTTATGGTTTTGGTCACCCCATGGTAAGTAAGGCTCTGAGGTGGCTATGTTACATATAACACGGACCACCTACGAAACGGACACGATTATGAATAAAGGAAGGTTCTTTGTATTATAAAATTGTCGTAATAATATGTTTTACATGTAATAATAGGCCTTCTGAATCGGCCTTACTGATTTTGGTAATGAACACTTATGGGACAAAATGAAAGGTTTTGCAGACGCCGCCAAGGTGTGTTGGATTATGTCGTATGTCACAGTCAAGGTTGTGTTATAAAAGCTTCTATCATAAAAACTCTTACGTCATTTATTGCGTAACTTCGACGATTTTTAAATCAATTTGTTAGTTCTAGCATATCTTGAATATTTTCTCATATAGAGGAAGGGTAGTGATTTTGCTTTGAGCAAACACGCATAAAATACTATGCTTTCGAAATTTGATGACGAAGGTAGTGAGAAATTGATATTAATCTGAATATAGTAAGGTAAATCTGACTTTAAAATTGACATCTCGTTCGTAAGACTATCAGTTGAGATGTTAAATTGTACGGGAGATTAAAACTTATCTTGAGAGAAACAGTTATAGGTTGGTACGGAATGCATTGTGATATAATAAAGTGATGCGTTCGGGAGAAAGGGGATAATTCTGGTTCTGACAATGTGCTGGAGTCATCGATTGTTAATACGAACAATAATTAATGATCTTGACTAAATTACTCATGCATGTCTAGACATATCCAGGTAGATTTGTAGAATATTTTCCTGAGAAAATGCCAAACTCTACTTCGATTTGGCTCCCGTGTCGGCACACTGCCTGTTAAAGCGTAGGCAAGAAAGCATTGCTATCAGTTTCGAATTGCGCACCCAACGGCCCACCTGTCAGTAAATCACTTTCACTCAACAAGCATGGGCTTAAATTTTCAATATAAGTTCATCTATGGCAAACAAATAATCGCTAATTTTACTTTTTAATAATTTCCTGTAATAAATGCTCACGTTGGACCCGTAGTTTGATTATTTCCGAAATTACCTTTGCAGTTTCTTTTTAGCTGTCGCATACTCATCAATTTTATAGGTGTTTGACGTCACTAAACTGACGTCATCATTCTATTGTGGAAGAAATAGTATATTTAAATTAGTCACCAGAAATGACCCCGCGGAAAGTTAACGTCATACGTCGTGTCTACGTAGTTGGTATCCTTCCCTATACACGGGACTTACTCTTTGACTTCGATTAGTATTTGAGAATATATATATTTATGTAAAGGGCGATTCACAAATAAACAGGACGCATACACTTCCACAAAAATAAAATATTTACCAATTAAACTTCTGTCTGTGTATTATTGCACCCAAAAGTTTCTGTAATCTAGCGCATAACTGGGCCACAGGCAGATTTTCAGGTGGGACACAAGCCCATTAAAATTAGTTTTATTTGTGTCACTATAAAACATTGTAGTAGCAATGAATGATGATGCTGTTTTTCATTCTAATTATTATTAAAGTGAAAGCATTTCGTTTTGCAAAAAAGTTTTTTGTTTTCTTGTTGTTTTTACCTCGCATGAAAAAGTTAATGGGCCACAGAAGAAAAAAGGTCGAGAACCACTGGTCTAGATTCTAGAATATGTTACAAATGACCTGTTTTTTTATTTTATTTGGGTAACCCTGTATATCGCAGGTAGTTGGTTGGGAACGAGGTTTGTGAAACGATATATTATGCATCCTACTTAGACCACAATTTGCATAAAACTTTTCTCATGACCTCTGTTCAAATTCCCTCAAGACCAATGTAAGGATGATTCTTGTCACTACAGGAGTGAATCCTTTATCGGCCGCGAATTTATTTAGTTTAACGCGGTGATGTGGTGACATCTGTTACGCCCAAAAGTTGAATTGTCCCCGATGACAGATTGAATGTCGAGAAAGTAATATTATGTATTACATTCCATCCATCGATAACGTTCAGAGTGCGAACATGACTTGTGTGACGGTATTCGTGACAGGCAGACGATTTAATTTACCCTTTGGGGTCAGGGGTTATAGACTTGGCAATATATATATATATATATATATTACAATTCTTTGATGAATGGAACTTTGGTGGAATTACATTATGAATGGAATTACGAGTAAATTAATATAATTTTGTTTATGAAGTTGCTAAAGCTGATATGACGTCATTGATTACGTCATACGAATAAAATACCCATACAGCTTCGGTTCTAATCATTGTAACTCAATATCGGAAGTTTGAGACGATAGGATAAGTGGGTCGAAAGACTTTTTCTTGTGCAGGTACTTCGAATTTTTTTGCAAATTTATTAATTTAGTTTAGAGCAATGTATATTGACTGCATTAAAACGTTTTATTCCCATCAGTTTAGAATGTTTCCTTCGTCAGAAACAGGAATTTGACTGCAATTCCGGATTTAAAGTTTATTGTATCAAAAATGGGTACTCACAGATTAATTCAAATAACTGATAATCAGTCAGGAAATTTGGAAACAATCTTTTAGAGAAATCTGCTATATTATATTGTTTCGCAAACTGTTTAAGATTCTAGGATATTTGTGGGTCAAAATGGAGAAGCATTTTCGTTATTGCAATATTGTTAAAAAAGATGGAAAATTCATATTGATTTATATAACTGCATTCAGTCAGGAAATTCTCAGTCATTTGCGAAAAGTTCAGCAAAATATTGTTTCGCACACTATTGCAGATCCTGCTGCTTTAGTTACAATGTACACAAGATTCTATGATATCCGTGAGTTAAAATAGTAAAAAAAAACTCAAGACAGATGATTACAAGAATTTTTGTTGTTACAATCGTGTTAAAACTGATCGAAACAATTTCGCAAATGACGCCGACGCAAAAAATATGGCGTATAGCTTGCATGACGAGCTAAGGAAATCTATACGAAGGCGTGAGTGAATCCTCTAAAAAAGAAGTTGTCAGTAGAGTTGTTGGAAACGTGATCCACCCACACGCTAGTATTTTCGTGTTTGTTGCACCATGAAAATTGCACCATAAAACCTCAATTTTATGTCCGTTACAATAGTTTGACAGAGATGCGTGTCATGCGCTGTCGAATATGTAAAGGAAAATCCGTTTTGCCGAATTTCACGTAGAATTTTCGAAATGCAAACACTTCTCGTCACGTTTTTGACGCCTCAATTTGTCAATGGACTCCTCTCTTAATATTTTTTGTTTGAAGTGTCAAAAAAGACGTTTAAATTTGTGTAAATTTTATAGTAATTCCATTTAGGGCTGAGTATGTTTCGAGGCCGCAAAAAAACCTTGGTCTCTAGCTTGCACGCTCTATAGTCTATACATTTCCTTCTCTTCGCACAAATCTTTGCATTTTAAGATTAACCTAAACATTCAATTCCTATCCTTGTTTTGGTTGAACTACGTATGGTTGACCTTGATCAGACAAAACGTTACAGAAATATATTTGTGTCAGTGTGCAGCAAGACTATTAAATCGCGCATTCACTGTGACAGCCTTAACATGTACATTCCGAGATATTTTACCACCCAATTGTCTGTTTTGTTTCGCCCATTACATTTTGGCAAAACCCCTCAAGTTTGATAGAAGGTATTCGACAAAAATTTACCACCGGTGTCGTTTGATATCGGTTTACCGATTCTTGTACCGGAATTACTAGGAACGATCGCACTGTGAAATATTTCAGTAATTTAAGTTTGAAAAACAGTCTTCCGACCTCTTCAAAACAAGTCGTTAACAGCAGCATTTTCAGCCTTTTTTGTTTGCAAAAATGTGATACATTTTTGACTGTATTTGAATACAATTACCACTGATTATTTCGCCATTTACGAATTTTATCAGCGATGAAACAAAAAGCTATTTTTAGGAAGGAAGTGCTTTTGTGGATTGCGGGTGAATTGAACACATGAACTTTACATCTTGAAACTCCATTCTAGTATTAGAAATTTGAGCCGTAGAACATCGGATTGAAATGTTATATAAAACATTGCACTTGACTTGGGAGCACGTTTGTAAAACTTCCCTATAAATCAATCCTTCTGTCTATATGGTAACCCAATCAATCAATAGATCTCTCGGAAGAGGCCATTGAAATGGCGACCATATTATCATCCTTATTCCAAGTTAACTCAGTCCTAAGTATCAGAGAACCCCTGGTTAGCAGGTCTGTTTCCGGTGATCTATAAACGTTTCAAACGCATTTTTACCGAGTAGAAATTCGCTAATCATTATTCGCTATTTGATTAAGCCATATCTTGTTTTATCTGAAAAAGTTAGACTATGATTTAACGAAAGCTTATAAATATGCTTGATATTTCGTGGAAAGAGATTATGCTATTTTTATAGAAATATTGAATGCACCAATATGATATATCTTTCCCGCTTTCACTAATCAAAGTCATATAAGTATCTGATCAAAGTGAAACTCAACTCAACTTGGGCCAGCAGATCAGTCAATAATTGTTTTATTGAAACGTTAGCAGTTTATGAAATTATTCCAAGGGATGTTTTTTAAATTTGTGAAAAAATGTAGAAATAATGCTTCAATTTGAATTTTCAATTTACAGACAGTTTATAAACTTATTATATTTCTTTACGGACAAGAAAACGCCATTAAATGGCTCATTTGGACACAAAATGGAATATATTATTCCCCGTACTTCTGACTATTGCAGTATTCATTTCTTCTACATCAGCCGCGACAGCCTACAGCGCAAGAAAGAAGATTCCAAGCGGAAGCAGGAGCAGCAGCGGAAGAACAGCCTCGTAAGTTTACACGCTTGAATAACCCTTTTTTTCGTAATTTTGCTGTAGCGATTTCACGCTATCTTCATCTCTTTTGGGTGCCTCTGGATCTGGACGGTTTGTGAATTGAAGACTGAGATTTTCTTAGTCAAATATAATTCATAGTATGCCCAATGAAATTCTTGAATATAGAAAATGTTTAGATATTGTCAGGAGTAAATATGAAAATTAGAAATCTTATAAAACATTTCAAATGGTTCACAATTTTTGAATATTTTCGAAACCACAAAAAGTCATCGCCAGAAATTGAACTCCGAATAATTTCTTGCGGTATCGAAACTTGATATTTACTATCAATCTTGTTCCAAAACTTGGTTATAAGTATTCAGTGCATATTTTCCTCATTACTAATGATATTAAATCACGAAAAAGATATCTATCTTTGTGAAGGTTTCCTGTTCCGTGTACGAGAGGTCATAGGTCATGTCAATGCGTGGGGTCATGCCCGTTGGATTATGATTTAATCTAATATTAATGGCGGATTAAACATGACATAATGACTTGTGTCCGGGCATGAACTTTGATAGGAAACTGTAGTATAAATGTATTTACCGGTATATTATGATATGAAGTTTTAGATCATTTTCTATTGAATCAGCAATAATTTATTGGATACAACTACGCCTTGTAGTCGGTACGTATCTGATCACCGCTTTTAATTATATCATTAGTTAATGTCTGCGGACTTAAAATATTTTGTAAATGTAACTCTTATTCGATGCTAAATTCTTTATGATCTGACCCACAATCTAGAATCAAACTTATGTGATGTCTAGTTAGGGCGCGTTGATTCTATCTTCTAATGTATGAAGTTTAATTGTTAATAATGTACTACATCTAGTGATTTCCAAATGAATCTCATACAGACACAAGTTATTTTTCATAAGCTTTTCGTGTTAACTATGTGACCAATTTTCAAATGATTGACTTTCTTGTGTTTTGCAATCAACTACCTGATTTTAAACCCTTCTCAATTCATTACAAACCAGGGCTAGGCGACGGGCTTGAGTAAATCAGCCACAATTTAGTGCAACTAGTCACATTCTTATTTTTGAGTGGTTTGTTGATAATGTAACAAACATGCTTTCATTTAAAGCTCATTAAACAGTTTTATGAATGCAGTTTGTTTCACGATTTCGAACAGAAACCTCAGATTGAAATTTGCCTAAAGAGTTCGGACGAGAAAATAGGTTACTCAGAGGTTGCAAGGTTAAAGGTGTTGCATTTTGTAGTCAGCGAACGCCGCCTGGTTTCCCATACAAACATCGATATGGAAATAAGGCATTCAATTATATTTATATATATCCTAGCGGGGGTGCAAACGTTCAAGTGTATAGTTCTATAGCTATAATATAAATTTGACGGATTTTTGAATGACGTGAATGTCGTAATACTTGTTACCGGCGTAGACAGGAAGTTGAGTATGTTTATTGATACGTGTCCTATAGTCCTGTATACGTCAAACACAAAAGTTTGACCCTTGAGCCCAAGAGATGAAAGTTGAGCATTTGAAGGTCATGGACTTACTTATGCCCTTATATGGATATAATCATGTTAATTGTCTTGTTGTAACTTTGTGGCAATGCGGCAGGAGATGGCGTAATTTGAATAACATTTAACGTACAAATCAGTTTCATAACATTCATCCGGATTTCTGTGTTAGAGAAAGTTTTGCATTTTTCCTTCTTTTTGAAATATACATATATATATTAATCTATGAGCTATCACTAAAATGTCGAGAGTTACTGCGACTATATGATAAACAACTTGTTGAACTAACTGAAGAAGGTTTGCTTGATCCAATTACCTAACATTGTAGTAATAATTATCAAATAAATAAAGCCTGACTTGTTACAAATATTCCCTTGAGTTTGGTAGCTCACTTTAAAAAATTAGATTGGCTGTATAAACATAACACACCAACAATGTCTCTACTTTTTATTAAGAACCAGATATAGTCTCGTACGAACAACAGATTCTAGTCTGGTACCAAAATACAAAATGACATAAGTTCTTAAAGTGAACCATGAACTCCGTGCGATCGAGGCGCAGTGATTGACCAGAAATTACCTTTAAACTCGTCGTAGTGAAACCCATGTTTGTATATTGCGAGTGTAGTTATTAGATGATCTTGCCAAAAGCAAAGTGGCCAGATCAAAACATACAGCGTTTTACTGAAATAGTATTACAAAGGGGTTTCCGGATTTAAAGCATATTTGCTTTATTAGAGTTTACCTTTGCCCAATTCACATAAATCAAAGAAACGCCGCAATGTGGTGACAAAATTTCGATAACAGTGAAATCCGCCATGTTTGGTCCAAAATTGACCATGTTTCATTTAACGCGAAGCTGAAGTTAAAGATTAACCAAACTCAAAGATGTTTTTATTTGGTTTTAGTACCATTCAAAAAATATGGGCTGTGGAACATTCGTGACTCAGAGGTGGGCTTTTTCACAGCCCACGTATAGCGCGGTGAAACCCGTCACAAACTGTGATTGCGGCGATAAAATACAATGTAAACATAAGAACAGCGTATAAACTGTGAAATACGTCTATAAGACGTTTTTACGAGACCACCACAATGTACATCAATTTATGCGGGACCATACTTTGCTCAAATCTGAAAAACGAATAAATGACTATTTGATATATCCTGTTGTATATAAACATTGTCATGTTTGTGGAAAAATCTTATGTTTGAGGTCGCAATAAAAGTTTTGGTAAGATTTTATATTTAGACTTCTACAACATATGTATATTTGGATTACGACATAACGTACAATTTTTTGAATCATTACGTATGTATACACAATAAAAATGAAAAGATAAAGTTTTGTATTGTCCTAAGGTGGCAACTGCTTTGGAATACTGAGCCACTCAATCACACCCTGGAACAAGCGAATGTCGCGGTATGGGGCGATAATTACTCAACAGCGGAGTTACTGAACACAAAACCTTTACGCTTGCAAACTCAGTATGCTCTCCAGCTTTTCATGTTAGAAGGGTGTTTACGAAAAAGCCGGTAGATATTTTGCTATTAGTGATAAAACTATTTGTAACTCATGATATATAAAATGTGTTATTTATTTGGCCGATCATATAAGCCACTTTCTGGGCATTCAAATGCAATTTTTCTCTTCTCCTCGCGAAAACAAACTGTTAAACTCATGTGAACATGATTCGAATTTTCCAGGTAGAAAGAAATACACTTTCGTTTCTCCGGGTCAGGTCTGTTTATGAAGTTTCCTCACGGTGAGGTGATTAATTTGCATCTTGGGAATCAGCTGCTAGAGATCTAATTTCATAATTTGACAAAACAACATTGGTAACAGATAGAAAATCAAAGAATAACCGTGTGTTAGGAGATCATCACTCAACGCTTCTTGCGCTATTCTTGACCGACGGGATGTTTTTACACTAAAGCCTTCCCTTGGGTAAAACGACTCGGTCGGAACAAATTTCCTATAAATTCAGGTATGGTAAACACATGAAACTCGTTATTTAAGTCAAACCTAGCATTGCTAAACAGTCGGCCAAACGTTATTCGACTGAGGAAGATAAAAATTTCCGACGTACATACCTTCTATGACGTCACCGAAGGAATAGAAGTCTTCACATGGTTGCGCCACCCGCATATTAAGTTTGTTTACCGGTGGGAATTAACATGATGATTGCGTATTATTGCATACCTTTGAACTCAGTAATGACCGATAACAAATTTTGAAACTGCGTTCACCTTCTGCGCCATTTTTATTAGAAGGTAGCCTTAATGTGACTTGTCCTGCGTGCACCGTCGAACCCGTTGACAGATATGGTGTTTCATTGCATGTGAAGTAACGCTTCTACCACATAAACTTTGTCCCTCAATTGTGGTGTAGTGAGTCATTCCTAGCGCTATAAAAATATCCGGTTTCGATTTGAGAATTATATAAGAGAAGAAAAAACGTCGCTGCTGCTAATCGCCAGATAAAAATCAGAATAACGGGTATTTGAGATGAGCTTTTGGCGATGATTGAATGAAATGCAATCCGGTGGTTGGTATAAAACATTACACGCACTTCAATAGCGACTGCAAATAATTGAACAAAATGGGAATTTATGTTGGGCTCTAAATCAAGAAAACAATTTCAATAAATACTTTCAACACTTAGCAAAGACACTATTGTTAGAAATAGAGAAACCGTGTACATGCGAATAAAGATTCATGGCTCGATATTGTCTTGATGTTAACAATCGATGCTACTACTTGACAGCTCACTTAAGGTGTAGATTTTATCTGAAATGATTTATGTTGCATGAAAATTTCAACTTGTCAAAGAATATTTACGAGTTCATATCCAGAATCTGTACATGGATGGCGTATCCATAAAAATGCTTTTATCCATGGCTCATAGTGAAGTGAACAGCGTAAACAGATTTCGAATTTTCCGAAAATAGCGAGAAAATTGTTTTGCAAAAATTGCCAGATAATCCCGTGAAAATCGTGTACATCTTGAATTTTAGAGTATTATGTCTATAGTGTTATGATGAAAACAAAAATAAACAATTCACTCACACAAATTAAATTCTACTTTACATCCGGATCTTATAGAAGCGAATGCTAATCGCGCATAATCTGCGTTTCAGCAGTTTTGTTTTTATAAAAATCAACGTTATGTTGATTATATTGAGCTCAGTGGCCATGCACAACTTTTGATGCATAGTGTAATGAATTTACTATGCTACGCTAAACATATTTCGATTCTTGTAGATATATAGAGTGTTCATACAGTCTCAAATTTTTTTTTTAAATTGCAAAGGGAATTTATCGATACCATATATTGTTTTGGCCCTTACAGATGTATTAAATGACGTACAAATACTAAAACAATTACTGACTGAAACACAACAAACCCAGTTAAGATATATATATTGAAAATTGAGTAGTTTATGAGAAAATTCGCGCCAATTGACAACTGGT